AAATTTTTTTTTGCAAAATAGTTCAAGCTCTGTCAGATTGGATGGAGAGCGCCTGTGAACAAAAATTTAAAAGTCTTGCCACAGATTCTCAATTGGATTTAGGTCTGGATGCACACCACACTTTTAAGATATTTATTCATAAAAAAATTTGAAAAAAATGTATCATTTTCCTTCCACTTCACAAAATACTTATGTATTTTGAGTCTGCTGTGGTCCCGTCATGTGATCCCTGTGTCAGCCTGCTGCAGTTGCAGGGGAGAGGGAGCACTCATCAACAGCTGGTAAAGCCTGAAGTAGTGACATCACCCATAGGTTCCTATGGCCCATTCAATGTTGGCACTCTCTTCTTTCCCCTACCATTGACTGGCACAGGAGAGCCAAATCATGTGACCAGACCAGAGCGGGCTAAAAAATAAGTATATACTACTTACACAGGTTAGTACGCATAGGTGTTAGAAGGGAAGATGGAACATTTTTTAAGACTAGTTAGTTTAATCCTGAAATTCTATTTTAAAGTGATACTAAACCTTAATTTTATTATTTTATCAAACCTGTACTGTGCAAGTGATATTGCACATAATGTTTGCTTTCCTCCTATTTTTCAGCCCCCCAGCAGTGCTGTCTCCTCCTCCTGTCTGCAGGGGCCCCCTCAGCAAGCAGGTGCTCCTAAGCTAGGCTGTGTATATCCATAGATACACACAGCGCACCTTGGCCATGCCCCCAGCTCCCTCCTTACAGGATTTTAATTATACCAGCAGGAGTTAATGGCTCCCGCTGATCTCAGAGTCTCCTGTGAGACCAAGAATAGTGAGCAGCGCTGCTGCAGATGCAATAGCTGGATTGTGAGAGTTCTAAGGTGAGTGCCTGGGGGGGTTGGCACATCAAGTGGAGGGACATTTTTTACCTTAATACGGGGAATGCATTAGGTTTTTTTTAAAAAAAAAAACAAAAAAACTTTAGAACCACTTTACCCTAAAAAAATGCTGAGGGTTTAATACTATTTTAATAGCTTTGTTGATACACAAAATCATTTTATTTGATGTTGACTTTGTTGATCAGCAAAGCCATGTGAGTGTAATGTTAGATATTGATGAACAGAATGGAAAACCATAAGAATAACCGTAACGCTAATGCTAACCCTTTGTTTATCAACAAAACAATGTGCTCACCATGTCAGCTCTGCTATGGATCACATAGGGGGTTATTTGCTAAAACTGGAGAGTGCAAAATCTGGTGCAACTCTGCATAGAAAAAAAAATCAGCTTCCAGGTTTTATCGTCAAAGCTTAATTGAACAAGCTGAGATTAGAAGCTAATTGACTACCACGCAGAGCTCGATCAGCTGGGTTTCGATACACCTATGGGAAGGCTGATTGTATCCAAGTTGATCCATCGATTGAATTGGGTACAACCACCATGTCAAATTTTCAGCATATAATTATTGCCAAATAATCATTGTGTTCTCCAAGCAGGGACAGCTTCAGCGACCCCCCCCCCCCCACCAGGAGCACACAATAGCTCTGTGGGAGGGGGGCATGGCCTGACGTGCGGGAAAGATGGCCGTTTGGTTCCTGAGCTCTGTGTCCGCTGGAGAGTTCTTGTTGCTTTTACCGGGCTTCCACAGCACTATGGTCAAAGCAGGGAGATCCTTTCCCTTTAGGAAGACTCCACACTCACAACTGGGGAGAAATCTCTCGGAGATCTTCTGTACCCAGCCAATTGACATCCAGCCGCGGCCTCGGACTCGCATGGCTGTTCGGCACCACGCTCTAAAGCAAAGATGGATACGGAGGTGATGCTAACAATGATCAAGCAAGTGCCAAAGATGTCAGATCTGCAATCTATAGCAGCATACATAAAAATGCATTAGCTGATGCAGTAACAGATCTAAAAGAAGAGCTCTGGGGTGTTTCAGACAGTTAGTGGAGGTGGAACAGGCAGCTGGGAGATATGACGCTGATATACAAGAACTACAACACCATGTGACCCACTATAATATGCACTTTATTGAGATGAATAGGAAACTGGAAGATCTCGCCAATAGAGTCTGGCGAAACAACCTTCAAATTTGCGGCATTCCTGAGACTGTGGACCATGACCAGTTACCTGCAGCTTTGCAATCATTGTTTAACAGCCTGCTTGAGAAACCTCAGGACTCTCCTGTGATCCTAGACCTTGCCCATAGGGCACTTTGCCGGAGGGGAAGAGAGGGAGATCCACCTAGTGACATTATGTGTTGCCTTGTGCATTACCGCTTTAAGGAGGAAATCTCACGTGCTTCAGGTTCTACGGGATCATCAGTGGCGCTTCCCTTTTGGCCTCTCAGCCACTCAGCAGGGAAGATCATATAGCATTTATACTCCGGAGAACCTTCCTCAATTCTTTGATTTCCTACACATTCCTCTGGTACCCCTTCCAGGTTTCTTACCAGGCCTTCCAGATCCCGGATCTGTGGAAAGAACACCTCTAGCCATCCGATCAGCGAACCCCTTGCTGCAAAGGTTCTCTCCATATATTCGAAGTCGCATGGCAGATGCTCCAACGGTGTGACGTCACGGCGTGCGTAGGCTCCTCCTTACGCGTTACGTGCCAAGCACATCCTCAGAGAAAGAACCAGTTCTTTCTCTGAGGATGTGCTTGGCACGTAACCAGTTCTTTCTCTGAGGATGTGCTTGGCACGTAACGCGTAAGAAGGAGCCTACGCACGCCGTGACGTCATGCCGTCGGAGCATAGTGGAGCTCCAGCGGCTATTACATCTGACAGGACGGTTAGTCCTGTCTGTACTTACTTGTTTTACTGGATGCATCCCCTCTGCTACTGTCATTTTTACTACAATAAATTGTTTATGCAATACTTCACTATGGGCATCTTTTCTTGACCCCCCGTGGGGAGCAACCTTTTTGCAGATACGTTTTTTTTTGCCCAGTGGAGGAGTCGTTTTCTTCAGGCGGATCATTGTTCTGTTCTCGGTTATCAAGGAGTCTCTCTTCCTGCCCAGCTCTGCACCACCCGGGGATCCTCTCTGATCAAGAGAACACCATTTCTACTCTGATGATTACCCCATGAGCATTATGATCTCTACATTGCACTTTTAATGTGCACATCTGGTTAGTGTGCACTTTTACTCCAAGTCACCTTGGCTGGGACTATTTTTATTCACATATAATCTATGACCTGCCTGAGGGTTAGGCTTTGGATTCTGGTTACAGTCATTGTTGTGGTTAGCATTGTCTTGGAAATTCACTTTTAAATGAATTTCTCCTTACCGTGAGTACTCGCAGTTGGATGTGCAGAAATCCCCCATAAAGCTGTGCGAATCTCGCTTACCACGACTTCAGCTAAACTACACGATTCCTGTGCCTCCAACTGATTTAGCTCTGTTGAGATGTGAGGAAATGGAGCTCCCTATACCCAGGAATGATCACACGACACTCTCAGGTTGCTGTTGGAATTGACATAGAGGAAGTTTTCATTCTCAGCCTCTGGTTTTATTACAAACACACACACACGCCCCCCCACATGAGTCAGGTCAATCCCCTCCCACAGAACAATGCAATGGGGAGTGCCTATAAACAGGATGTACATTCCGATTGGAGCGTAGCCTTTCCTATTATCTATCACCAGTCCTCCCCTCCCCCCATGAGCTCTCTGAGGGAAGTAACCTTCCCCCCTCCTATTAGCTCCTAGTGGTACGTAAATTCTCTGTACAAGCATCCCCTAGATTAAACAGTGCCAGTCTGTATCTGAATGGGCCCGATACAATCTTTATTAAAACACATCCATCCAGATACAGTTTCAGGTCGGTAATGGCTTGTAAGATTTACATGAGCCTACACACGGAGTTCACACCGCTTGGCTCCTTGCGGTATGAAGTCCATGTGGTACTATGCTGCTGATATGTGGATACAGGCCCGTGGCCTACCGCCGGCGGCATTCGCATTGAATGCCGTGGTGGTATACACGTCGGTCTATAAGCGCAGATCTGCCATCTCATCCGTTACCGAGCTGAGTACTGTAATATATACATTGTACATGCGCATGGCCCAATTGCAGCCTTCAGAGCTTTAATTAAGCCACACGAGAGACATATGAATAAAAAACTCATATATGACATATTTAAAGTTCAACCTGTAAATACAAAATTTCCATGACATTCTCTCCTGTTTTATCATATTCTCCTCGTGTCCCTTCTTGATCTTCTTCAGCTTGATGGGTGTAGTCTCAAAACCTCAAAGAGTTGGTCTTAGACCAGAGTTTCTGTAGTTGTCCCTGAGAATAAAGCTCCACGGGTACCTGAAACAACAAGACCCGACGCAGACTCGACACAAACAGGCTTGATTGAAGCAATGATCCTCAGGAGCGTTGGGACCTTTACTACAGGAAGGCTCTTTCAAAAACCACAAACAGAATTGTGGTATGAATAAGGCTTGTGATCCCACGGTGGTCTGGGGAGATCCAGCAGCAGATTCTCAAATTGCCCCTGCAGACGGGGCCACACAAGGCTGGTCTCGACCCAGACAGTTTTCCAAATCGCAGACACAAACAATGATGAGGCTTGAAGCTTGCTTGGAGGTCTTGGAGAATGTGGTCTTCAGGGAGATAAATTAGAGGGAAGCCAGGACGTAATCTGCAGAGAAGGTGGTTGGTTGGTGAGGTCTTCCTCCGATCAGTGGTTGGAGTGGGATCCCAGGAGCGGGCATGGAGATGTGGTCGTCTGCCCGAGCTTGGTTTACACGGTCAATGAGGCAACAGGAACATCTCACCGTGGCATATAAGAGGCAGAGTAAAAAAAGAAGCATCAGGACATATACTCCCACTTCCTTCAACCAAGATCTGATGGAGAACAGGAAATCTCCCAATCCTCCCAAACCCTTGAATGGATTCCAACCCTCACTAGCTATAGCTCTAGCTTTTCCCTGTAGTTAACTAACTTTGTCCATATGGGTCTGGACCTTGTCATCGGTGTCTTCTATCCAAGTACAACAATCCTCTCTGATGAACTCACAGAACCCCCTGTCAGGAATGGACCTGCCAGTAATGGTGGGACTCACCTGCCTTGTGGACTGCAGTACCAGGGCTGGCCAGCGGGTGCTCTCAGCAATCAGAGACTCAAACCTGTAGTCAGCCAAACACCTGAAGCTGATTATGGAGGTGTATTTAAGGGATGGCCAGTACTGCAGTCTGTGCCTTGGTGTGTGTTTTTTCCATGGGCCCCTGTATCTGTTACCTGCATTCCTGTTCCTGTTCCTGTCGACCTTGCTTGATCCTGACCTCTGCTGACTTCTCCTGTTTGATCCCTGGCTTGTGAACCAGACCATTCTCTGCTGACCCTCTGTACCTACCTGCCCGTTAGTTGCTGTACCCGGCTCGTGACCTGACTACTCTCTGCCTGCTCCTCCTGTTCCTACCTGCCCGATTGTTATTGACCTGCCTGCTTTACTACGCTTGCATTGTATGTATTGTTATCTGTGGGTGGTTTGGTTTAGGTTCGTTTGCACTTTGTTTATGTTTTATTATTGCACTGCGTTTTGTATTGTTAGTATTAATAAATTATATTGTTTATAACATATCTGAAGCCTGCGTTTCCCTGTGTCAGTTCACATAGCTCTGGTCATACCCGGAGCCCTGACACCCCCTTTGGCGGCTAAAAGGTAATCAAGGGCCATCTTCTCCTGAAGCACTAAAATTCCCATCTGCCGTTGTTCTTGGGCAATTTCTCTGACAGCCTCTACGGTCTCGTTAAAACATACTATCCACGATGACAGAAAAATTGTTCAGGCGCTTCATAAGTTCTATTCCCCAACCTGTCCATGAGGGGAAACCAAGCCCATGCTTGGTCGCCCTCAGAGAACAGCTCCCTGCGAACTCATCCCTGCCATCCTTACCTTCTTGTGGACCATCAACTCTTCATGATCCATCACTACATAGGATGCGGGGACTAGCTTTATGAGGGCACACGAACCTTTCGCTTTCTGGGGAAATGTTCTATAGGCTCCCGAACCACACAGAAAATAGTATGGACCTGTCAGAGCAGAGCAGAGGAGTTCCTCGTTCGGCCTCTGGCACTGAGCAACAGTTGCACAGACTGGGGGATTGCTCCCTCAGTCTGCACATCACATCCGTCCTTCCAACAAACGTGGTCTGGTCGGTCAGTGTGGTTACTCAGAAGGGAAGTCTGGTTAGTCAGATTGACAGTTATACCTCCCTCACAGGTGGTAGTCCCAACAAACTTGTTACCTGTGCCAAAGCTGATGTTAAAGCACACCTGAGGGCTGCCTAGCTGTCCAGTTACCCATAATGGACTGGTGAGGGCCCTACAGGAGCTAGAGCTAATGTTGGTGCTAAAACTGATGTTACCTGCTAAAAATGTGTCATTAAGTTCTACAGACAAATGTCTACGTGGGGGCTGACCAGGGTCCCTTGCTTTTTCATGTAGTTTTCAAAGACGATAACTGTTGAGGAAAGTACAACCCTGTTTTGGGAGGTCCCCCAAATAACACCTCGTAGGGTGGCAACCCATTTGGTTGCCGAGGGGCATTTCGGATGGAATAGAGGGCAATGGGGAGACACTCAGGCCAAGGTTTTTTGGTATCAGCCATGATTTTGGAGATCCTGTTTTTAAGGATTCCGTTGAGAAGTTCGACCTTACCGCTACTCTCGGGGTGATACGGGGTGTGTAGCCCTTGGTTGATGTGAAGGGCTTTACATACCTCTGCAAAGATCTGTTCAGTGAAGTGTGACCCACTATCGGACTCGATGGTTTCAGGTAGACCCCAGCGGCACACAACCTCAGACAGGTATTTCTTCGCCGTGGTACTAGCGTTGGCACACGTCAACTCACATGCCCTGGCCAGTGCCCACAGCTCAGCTTCCCTGAGCTGACATATGTGCGTTCAAAGAGCAACCAGTGTGTGGCTTACCGTCTTGGGTGTAGTACCTGGACCCATCGACAAAAGATTTTTCGCTTCCGTAGTGGCGCTTCCTTCACTGGGCTGATCGCTGCGGACTCCAGTTCCATCAGAGAAATGCAGTCGTGTTCTTTGGAAGAGAGGTTAGTAGTGGACAAAGAAGACATGTTAGCAGAAGAGGTGTTAGTATCGTTAGTCGGGTTGCAAAATTCAGCACTGTCGTTGCTGTCCTCCCCCCTTTCTCATCTTTCGACACAGGAAGAAGAGAAGCTGGGTTAAGAATAATGCATCGTTTGATAGTGAGGTTAGTAGGGCTTAGGAGGGATTTCCCCTGAGAGGGTACCTTGCCTTGGATGTCCTGTTTTCGCAAGACCGTTCTTGCTGCACTGGTGTCGGTGAGGCAAGGGAGGGGATATTTTAATTCTTCTAGAAAAAAATGGACCTAGGCCGACACCGATTTGCCAACTTCTTATGAGAATTCATAGGAGTTACTTACCATGTGGTGGTGACAGGGGCGTAGGACTCATCAGGAATGAACTGCCACCGACCTTTAGGTAATTGGGGACAGCTCCTCCTCATGTGCCCCTGTTTGGTGGCACTGAAAACACCTGGGTGGGGGCCCTATCCCTTCCTGTGACCCAGATCCCTTGGTTTTTCGTGTGGGGTCTGGGACATAAGAACTTTGGCCTTGTCCTGTTTTCTTCTATCCATTTCCCTCTCTATTGCCGCAAGAGTGGAAAGGATAGCAGGGATAGACATCTCATTATATTCGGGTCGGGCCAGAACCAGCCTTTCCCCGAATTTTAATATTGATGCCTTCCAAAAATTTGGCCCGCAACAGAATGTGCGTCGTGGTCACCTTTACCCCTTCAGTTGGAGCATCAGGTCCAACTTCCAGATCCGCATCCAGTGCCGTCTGCTTGAGACGGCGCCAGAAGCAGGCGCTTTCCTCATTAGGACCCTGGGTGAGCTTCATCATGTCCGTAGTAGAGGTAGCACCATACATTTCTGGAAGCTTTGCCTTTAGCTGTGCACAAAACTCTTTGCCCCCTGAAGTCATCTCCTCATGAGTGGTTATAGAGCACCCTGCAATAACTGGGTGTCTATTCCCCTTGATTCGCAGATAGTCTGCAAAACGGTTGTTGAGAAGACTTCGTAGTTGGAAACAGAAGGAGCTGGGGTGAAGCAGGGAGAAGGGAGAGGTAGAGGTAGAGGCTGAGGCATATATATAGAAGACACGAAAGGTACGTCAAGAGTGACGTCACTAGCAAAAGAGACAGGTGCAGTTATACTTATCTCAGCCACTGTTGGTTGTTCGGAACCCCAGCACAGTCCCTGATCCTGCCTGCCTTAGTAGAGTCAGCCCTGAAAGAGCTTCCTCCACCTCTGACACTGGATCCTCCTGTTTTATTCTCTCTGGAGGCCAGGTATACATCACCTGGTTCTTCCGGACAGACACCAGTTTATGTATGCCCTGCTTCCCTAATCGGATTGACCTGTGAAGCCATAGCTGTGTGATCTCTAGTTCTGACGCCTGCATCCGTGGTTCAAATTCAGAGATGAATTTTTCCCACCTCCATGCATCAAATTCCCGGGGAATTTCCCATCTAGTACCCTTCGACCATTTATTCCATCTTTTGAGGGGTTCTGCAGACTTCCCCCGAAACTCTCCTTCATCAGTTGTGCAGCTGTCCATACCCTGAAGAGGGCTGGTTCCCCCTCTCTCTTCATGGACTGACTACTGCCCATCGTGACTAGTCACTGGTATATATCCCGCGTCCGGGTACCTGTTTACCCCCTGGAGCACTCGGTAGGATCCTACCGAGAGGCCTGATTCCACCACTTTCCCCAGCACAGTGTAATTTATGTGATTCTTATCGATCACCCGAAGCGCATCAAGTGGCGGTCAGACTGAGAGCACACCTCCCACAGCACAATTTATGTGATCCTGACCACCCAAGTGTTTGTGGTAACCAGGCTAAGTGTTACACTTCCCTGGACCGCCCACTCGCACAGCGCAATTTTATGTGGTTCTCATCACTCACTGTGTTTGGCAGGCCACACCGCACAATGATGAAAGTGGCTTTTCTCTCTCTGCACACAGTAGCTAACACAAGTCAAACCAAAAGGAGGGGTTCTTGGATGTTACTTATGGGTCACTGGTTGCCCGGAAACCTGCTAACTGACCTTTAGGAAAATTGTGTAAAGAAAAAAAACTCCCTAATACAGAAAAACCCCTTTTCAACTTGAAAAACCGTTAAAAAGGACAAAGTGGAGCCTTATGGAAAACACGGGACGTTTCGCAGTAAAACAATTACACAGAGGTGAACCGAAAAACTGCTCCATGAATAACCCCTGTTGCTGACAGCGAAAATCACTCCTACCAGCGCCGCTAAACGATCCGCGTTACACACGCGATCTTCGCTGCAACCACCTAAAACCGTTTACACAAAAAGTCTGCTGGATGCGAAACACACAACGCAGCAGCTTTAAAACAAACCCGCTTTACAATAAGGAACTACTTTTAACAAGAAAAACACAAGAAAAACATCATCACTATACAAGAAATCTATGTGCAAAAACCCAGACTTCACCGCGCTCACTAAATGTGGAACACGTGAGGGAAAAACGTGCTTAACACACACTTTAAATTGGCTGGCAATACGCAAATTTAAAGCTAAAAGCAAACAAATTAAACTGTAAAAATTTGGATTAAAAACATAAAATGGGTCAAATGCATATAGAAAATTGCATATACATTGCACAGAGATTAGTGCACATGTGGTAGTCAACAAAATGGCCACCAACAGAGAAAGCACACGGCAGACACTAGCCTCAAAATTGCCTCTAACCTCTTACATAAAACAGACTTTTGGACAAAACATACACTGGACAATTACACAACAATATACAGCACACATACAACACAATTTAGCACGATCACAGAACAGACATAAAACACCTACATATCACACTAACATGCGCATGTAACAGAAAAGACCCACTGCTGCTGCATGCTTGCTGGGAGCAGTAGTACCGACAAAACACTGCACAGACTATATACACACAAAGATCTTACAACAGTTAACGATTAACCTAAACTTTTCAGCACTGTAATAATTACCTCACGTGGAGGGGGGGTAGAGCAATTACCACAGTACCTACAACCCGCAAATACTTACCTAAACTATGCAAAAACTTTTAACCGCTAAAACATATACCCGTTTAATTTTTGGTTGAAAGATTTTTAAACTTGACCAAATCCAGCCAACCAAACCCACCCCTCTGCTGCTCTCAGCAGCAGAAAAACCCTCGTCTTTCACACCCACAAATCAAGATTTTAGGACAAAGGTCCTTGCTAAGCGGAATTCACGTTAGCTAACAGAGAGCGAAATCAGCCACACGAACACGCAAAAAGCGATCCTCTTAATGGCAGAGAGACCTGAAATGTGCCGGCATACTTTTTGCTAATTCATGATGGCTCATTCCCCCCTCGAACTTGGTTAGCTATCCCAGAAATTCGCGTTAGTATCCACTGGCTC